TCTACTAAAGAGAGGTTTTCACACCCCTATAGGGAATACTTCGTTCACCTCTTCAACCGATGTGGGACCTAACAAAAATTTTAGCTAGAACGAGTCTGTTAAGGAGAGGTTTCCACAACCTTATAAAGAATGCTTCATTCTCCTCTCCAACCGACGTGGGACCTAACAAAAACTTTAGCTAGAGCCCGACTTTACTTGTTAAAGCCGCATGTGATTGTCAATATCAGTAGGAAAAGAGTTGAAAGATTCAAAATTTCAGGAGTCAACAATATGCAAAAGCCATATATGATAGAACACAACCAAAACTGTGTGGAAAGATCATTACCAGTTCTCAGAATCTGTAGAAATCTCTCCATCTTTGTTTTGGTGATGATAATGAAAGGAGGGGGTGTGCCCAATTACTCCACGAGCAATGGAACCCAACGAATCCATCCTTTTCCCAACAGTTACAAGACAGAAAGCACTTGATTTGGTTCAGCACTCCATGTACGTATGTACCTTTAAGTTTTGTCTGTGTTGCTACAAAAAGAAAAGCAAGTCAGCTTGGAAAATAACATACAGAGTACGAATCGGCCTCTGTGGTTAATCATTTGCAGTGAAGTGTCAAATCAGAAACTTGGCACCCAAGTTATCACAATGAAAGTAAATACCATTGGATAAATCAATGGCTGCTCGTTGAATGATCTTTTCCTTCTCTGGTTCAAATAAAAGAGGGTGAAGAAAGCAAAGAAAGATCGGTAGAACATGGAGTGTAAAGCTAGCATCTTGTAACATAATCTTTTTCCCATTTATCCTATCATTCTCTGCAACACTAATGCTTATCTTAGCGCATGGCTTTTAACCATGTGGTTGTGGGTTCGATTCCCACAGACGGTGAATAATCTTACCAAGAGGTTTGTTCTTCAAAGCATCCTCATGTTCGGGCTCTGAGGTATATTTAGGTATATTTTCCATTGAAGATTCTATTCGATGCTTTTTAACATTGTAGGCTCTCAAATAAGAACCTTTTTACTTATAAACTCATGATCATTCCCTACTTTACGATCTATACTTTTTAGCACTGCAGGCTCTCAAATAAGAACCAGCCAGTTGTACATTTGGGAACACCAGCCTGGACTCATGATCATTCCCTACTTCACGATCGATGCTTTTTAGCACCGTAGGTTAGGCTTCCTGCAAAAGAACAATGTTTGTCAATGCTCTAGTTCGAGGCAAAATATCTGTTGGGTTATGGAGCATGCTGCGGCATCTGTTAGGTTAAAAACATTTGTTGGGTTATGGAGCATGATGCGACATCTGTTAGGTTATGGAGCATGCTGCTTATTTATAGTAAAACTATATAACACCAACTTTACAAGGCTTCCTGCAAAAGAATAATGCTAGGTCGAGGAAAAACATCGCTTAGGTTATGGAGCCAGTTGCTTATTTATAGTTTAGTCAACGGTTATGCATACTAAAGCTATATATATGGTAAATGAGTAAATTGTAATAAATAATAAATAGCTATGTATAGTAAAAAGCTATATCCTAGCTACTATATATGATATAGTTATATATAGTAGATGATTATATCGGGTAAAGCTATATATAGTAAGTTGAACCGTATATATATTCCCTTAGTCAAAGCTTTGTAAATGTACTTTATCTATTCTCTATATTCTCTATGTTCTCTATAATCTCTCTACTGTACATATATGAAGTCATCAATACAAAACCTTTAGCAGAGTTCTCATTTCATTTTCTCTCTTGTTCTTTGTGTTCATCTAGATCAAGCATGTGGATTGTTGGGCGATCCTAATAACATCAAACCAAATAACAATCAATGATAGCATCCAAACAACAGCTTAGACATTTCATACATGGAGAGAAGTATAAAGTCAGCTTTGTAATGTCATTACTTGAACTCATTATTCAGTCCCTTTCTGAACTTTGAAGATGGAACTCTAAAAGATCGACTTTACAGATATTCATATGGTGTCAAGCCCTCATACACAGAGAGGGTACGAGGAGAGGAAAAAAAAACTTGATAGCAAATCAAAGCCAACAGACTAGACATTGCACAACTCAACTGCCTACATTATTAAACGCATGCCAGAAGGGGCCTAAGCACAGCAATTAAACATGAGAGAGCTCAACTCTAAACCTTTAATTGTCCAATTTGGCTACGATGTTCTAACCAACCCGGCTTAACTAAACCAGTTTCTCATATAACGGTATAAGCTCACCGCTAGCAGATATTGTTCTTTTTAGGTTTTTCCTTTCGAGATTTCCCTTAATGTTTTTAAAACGCGTATGCTAGAGAGAAGTTTCTATACACTTACAAAGGATGTTATGTTCTCCTCCCCAACCGATGTGGGATCTCACAATCTACCCCCTTTAGGGCTCAACCTCCTCGTTGGAACATCACCTGGTATCTGCCTCTAATACCATTTGTAACGGCTCAAGCCCACCATTAGCAGATATTGTCCTCTTTGGCTTTCCGTTTCGGGCTTCCTCTCAAGGTTTTAAAGGTTTTTAAAAAGCGTTTGCTAGGGAGAGGTTTCCACATCCTTGTAAAGGATTTCGTTCTCTTCCCCAACTGACACCATTTATAACGGCTCAAGCCCACTATTAGCAGATATTGTCCCAGGCTTCCTCTCAAGGTTTTTAAAGGTTTTTAAAAAACGTCGGCTAGAGAGAAGTTTCCACACCCTTATAAAGAATGTTTCGTTCTCCTCCCCAGCCGATGTGGGATCTCACAATCCACTTTCATTCGAGGCCCAACGTCCTTGTTGGCACACCACCTCGTATCCACCCCCCTTTGGGGCTCAGCCTCATCATTGGCACATCGTCCGGTGTTTGGCTCTAATACCATTTGTAACAGTCTAAGCCCACCGCTAGCAGATATTGTCCTCTTTAACCTTTCATTTTTGGGCTTCTCCTCAAGATTTTTAAAACGCGTTTGCTAGAGAGAGGTTTCAACACTCTTATAAAGAATGTTTCGTTTACTTTCCCAACCGCTGTAGGATCTCGCACCTTGCCTCTACCGATCATCACCTAGGGCAAATACAAACAATCACGACCAGCAACAGGAGAAAATAAGATATTTATCTACATAAAGTTTCCCTTGTATTATCACCCAAAAGAATCTTCCAGTACCAAATAAGCTTTTCAGCAGCCTTCCAACCCATTTAAAAGTAACGCAAATACCAAAGCTACTGCAGCCAATATCTTCACAAGTACTCCAACAATCTACAGTTCATCATTCAGATAATGAGTTCCTGCACTTCCACTACAACGTAGAACATGGATGATATATACTGAGTAGAAAATCCAAGCAGATCGCAGAGACACATAGTATTCAATCAGTGACAAGAAAAATGTATGAGTCAGCATGCACAAAAACCCAAGTCCCGTAAGTGATAACTTAGTAGAATACGACGAACAACACCTGTAATAAGACGAGTAGTATCAGTCACTGAGCTAGGCAGATGCAGTGCTCGGATCGTCTCTTTCTACCTCCTAACAGAGGAGCCTCCATTCTGATTGAACTTAAATCCACACTCAAAACCTCTGCCCCATCAATCGCATCACCGTCGTTGTTCGCATATCCCTGGTCGGGTCTGTGAAGCTTTTGTTTATATCTTAGTTCCCTATGTCTCTATCAACGGAAAGAAAATAGGCCATGATCTCACGCGCAAAACTGACAAGGGACGACCTTCAAATGGCACCTATCTAACCACGTGAGGGCCAAGATTGAGAAGTGTCATGATGCGACTGAAGAGGACGGTGAATCATCTAACTCATCAAGAGTATGCATTGAAGCTAAGTTGAGGCATATGTAAAATGGGAGAATGAGGTGACATTAGTGTCGAAAACAAGTTTAAAGAGGGTCGGGTACGGCCTCGGGCCATAACCTCAGAAGTCGAAGTTTCAATATGAGTTTGGACATGCGGCTCGAGAATTAAGTCTATCTATATGAAAGATGAAAGACTCAACAAATTTGGTGTCAATTGAATACCCAACGGACTATGCACGAGGTCGTATATTATTTTGCAAAAAATGACCACTACTCGATAAGGATTGGAAATGACTCAAAATGTACTATAGGGGAGGCATGATGTCAGCTCTATATCCCTTTGGGTCATGTAACCTAAGCAAGCTACTATGTGGTACATGTGTGTGTCACAATGAAGGTGAGCGTTCCTAGACGAGTGTCTCAATCGACTTCTTTTGAAATGAGTTTTTCAAGGACAGTACTGGACGACATAGTTGGACCGATATTGCGCCCTAGCTTGTGTGTTGGAGGTTGGATAATGCACCCGTTATCCGAAACGAATGTCGTAAATGGTCTAGCATGGACATGGGAGAGTCCAATGCCTAATAAGAACCTAGATGGATGGATGTTCGAGATGTCCCGATGAGATGATCGACACATGGATCAGTTTTCAATGGATGTGTCCAAGCAAGCCAAGACATGGGTTGTATTGTTAGGATCCGAGATGACAATGAGACGTGATGTTGATGTGTAGCAGACGAATGAACATGCACACGCGAGAGCGTGTTGCCGAAGAAACTTGGAATCCGCACAGGTGACGTTTGGTTGGTGAGTACAAACCTCACCTAAGATTGGACGAAACCGAGACTAAAAAATGAATATAGGAGTTAAGTTCCCTTTAAAATTTGTGGGGATAGTGTGTCAACAAAATGAAATCGTGGCTGACTTCATGTTGTATCTCAGTGCTTCGATGAGCGATGATGAAGGACATGGATGGAGTTGGAGAATGGTCTTACAGCGCATTTCGATGCTTGATTTTGGACACCAATGATGCTCCTATTAACCTAGGTGGGTGGTTTAAGGGTTTGTGGTTCCGATTTTCAATTCCAATGCATGTCTTCCATACCTACCATTGAATCGCCTGTTCAACCATTCGCTTAGATTTTTTCCAATTCTTCTGTTTATGTTTATTTGTTTGTTGCCGATATTCATCAATTGTTCTGATTTGCACATTCACTGTTGTAACATCACATTTGATTAAAGATATATCAGAACTGGCATCGAAATCGGAATGAAGTTTCGATTTCTGAACGTTTTTGCAGAGTGAAAAGAGGGAAACAAACGTGCATCAAGCACATTCAATTAGTAGAGGAACGAAAGCAAAACAACTGTTCAATGGGATTTGAAGACCATCACGGCTATGGAAATCAGCAAGAGAGATGGTGAGCGGGAACAAGATGGAGTAGATGCGGATGGAGCTAAAACCGGTCGGATCCGACGGTGGGCTGCTTCTGGAGCTTGCGATTCCGCCGGAGAATACGTCGGTGTCAATTTCTGCGGCTGAGGCTGGCTGCTTTCTGGTGCCGGAGCTACTGCTACTGCTTTGGAAACTGCCCACACAAATGAAAGATCAATTGTAAGTACTAATGAACTTTCCTCACCATGGGGAGTTAGTCTAATTTAGGATCACAATGGTATTGAGTTTATAGGTAAGAAATATATCTTCATTGGTATGAGACATTTTGGAGAAGCCCAAAATAAAGCCATTAGAGCTTATGCTCAAGACAATATCATACCATTGTGAGGTCCGTAATTTCGAATATGGTATCAAAGTCATGCCCTTAATTTTGCTATGTCAATAGGATCCTTAAATATCGAACAAAGAAGTTGTGAACTTCGAAGGTGTAGTTAAAAGTGATTGAAGTGTCAAACAAAGAGTGTACTTTATTCAAGTACTCTAGAAAAGGAGTCGAGCCTCGATTAAGTGGAGGCTGTTCAAGGGCTCCATAGGCCTCTAAAAAGGCTCTATAATGTACTTTGTTCGAGGAAATAATATTATAATTCCTAACCGTTTTATATTGAATAGATGTGAATCTGCTCATTCTTAATGTTGATGACAAGATTAGATAATCATGCACATGGAGGTTACCTTGTGGGCTTAGAGGAGAAGCAGCTGCAGTAGGAGATGGTGCAGCTGGTCCAAGTGAGACAGGTCCTGTCAATTACAGAAGAATCAAATTTTCAACCCTCTCTTACTCTGAGTTTTCATTGATCTAGTGATGTAAAAGAAATTTGATGAGAACTAGAGAAGATTATCATACCTGGTGATGGCAGGGGAGAAGCTGATGCTGCAAGATATGATCAAGACCAACGTTAAAACTCATAAAATCTAAGAAATTGTTAACCGTTCAAGCCCATCGTTAGGAAATATTGTCCTCTTTGAGCTTTTCCTCCCTCAAAGTTTTTAAACGCGTTTGTGAGGGAGAGGTTTCCACACTCTTGTAAAGAATGTTTTGTTCTCATCTTCAACCGATGTGGGATCTCACAATCCACCCCCTTCGGGGCCTAACGTCCTCACTGACACATCGCCTAATGTATGGCTATGATATCATTTGTAACATCCCAAGCCCACCGCTAGTAAATATTGTCCTCTTCGGGTTTTCCCTCAAGACTTTTAAGATGCGTTTGCTAGGGAGAGGTTTCCACACCCTTATAAAAAATATTTCGTTCTCCTCCACAACTGATGTGGGATCTCACAATCCACCCCTTGTTGACACACCTCCTCGTTCAGGGCTCAGCCTCCTCGTTGACATATCATCCGGTGTCTGACTCTGATACCATTTGTAACAGCTCGAAATGAAAAGTGAACAACATCTAGCGGTGAGATTGGACTACACACCATTTGGTCAGGCTTTTCCAACCCTTAAAACACTTAAAAATCATTGAAAAGGGTGTGATGAGTTGTTACCTTTGCATTGTGCAGGCAAGTTAGTAATGTTACAAGAACTTGGAAGAATGAGCGCAAGGGCCGCATTGATGGGCAGAGGAACAGGCACATTAGCAGTAAGTAAAAGGCAGACACAGTCCATGCTTATCCCCGACAGCGAACTCAGTGTGGTGCAGCAACTTTCCTTTTGTGAAGAACCATTGCTGCTACTTCCAGTGATGACATTGAAACATGGGGTGAAATTGTTGATCATTGAGGCCGTGCAAGGCGAACGAATCTGCCCTTCAACTGAACAACTCCTCAAGATAGTTGCTGCAACTGAGATGAACGCTAAGGCCTTCAAAATCGCCATTGAAATGAACAGAGAATTTCAAGAGAATTTGCAGTCCTGCCATCTTTCAATGGGAGGTTTGTGTAGTTTATGTAAGTTTGGGGAATTTGAAGGGTCAGTCTGGTAGATTTGAATGTTGGGTTTTGGGGTTCAACCAACTTCAATGAACCAAGTTATACTTCACCATTGTAAGGTCAATAGTTTGGAGCTTCCATTGGGTGGGTTTGGCACGTTGGTTACACCAATAAACCCTTTGTATATAAATGAATTTTTCGGGAGCTCGACTTTCGAACTGTATGATGTCATGATTTACACACAATCATGACTAACCTTTTAGAGAACTTAAGTTCGGTATACTTTTTAGTTCATCTTTGTGGCTTCATCGAACTTTAGGCAATGTGTTTTTCTCGTTCACTGAACGTGACTTATGTGGAACTAAGCTTCATTCAGTCATATACGTCTCTTGTATGTGTATTTTATTTCAATTGCAACTCTAGGCAACTTGCTTCTACTCTTGGTCAAGTCTTTAAGGCTCAACATTACCTCTACTCTAGGTCAAGACCCTTCAAATGGATTGTCGCTTCTTGTTTCATCATCTAGGTCAAAGCTTACCAGCTTTAATATCGATTTGAAACTTAAACGGGAAGTGTTAGGGACCCTAGTTGAGTCAAAACAGTTTTAAAACATTCAACTGGAGCTTATTAGGTGATTTCAGCACTTATGCATAATAATGCTTGCCATGGCGTCACAGTCAAATGTCATGCTTATAAAAAAAACCTCTCGAGTCTCACTAATGCGTCATGATGTCACGTTGAACCTTAGAATGTCATTGGTCTTTACTGTTCGCTTGAACACATTCATCGAGAATTGACCCATAAGTCAACTTTATATTTGGGACCTCTCGAGCATCCATCCATTCAAGTACTATTGAGGTATGAACCCTCAAATGTTCATGTCAAGTCATTTTTTAATGTCATGCCAAAGTCTGGTCTTATATTTCATCTTCCAACTAAAGAGACAGAGAGTATTGTCGCCACACCCGTGCCACTCGACACTATTCTCAAAAACCATTCTCAAAGAAAAACACCAAGACACTCTTCTTACAATGCTCGATTAGGCCCTGAAGCCCAGGAATGATAAAAAACTAACACCATCCCTCCCTTATAATTCATTTTAATATATTTTTTATCGAGCATATGTGCATATCTAATGACAAGGAGTCATAAGCCAACGGAGAGTGTCACACTCATATGTGCATATCATATGTGCATATCTAATGACAAGGAGTCATGAGCCTCTTGTTTCATAAAAGTTGCACTTTTATATACGGCAAGAGAAGCTGCATCATAAAGTAATCATTACATGCAAATTGATCCTCACGAGATATTCATAATTATAATTTCGTCAAAAGTCTATTCTACCCTTATGTAAGTTAGGAGACGGGTTTGGTTCAAAAGTCTATTCTACCCCTAGATAAGTTTTGTCAAAAGTCTATTTTGCCCCCGGGTAAGTTAGGAGACTGAGTTTGGTGAAAAGTCTGTTTTAGCCATAGAGGGGAGAGGAGGTTTGGTGCATAGTTTGTGTAATAGAAGAAATGAAACGGGAAGGAATTAGGGAATATCCGAATTCCCCCAAGCGTCCATTCTGTTTAGGGTAAACGTAAGTTGAATGTAATTGAAAATTCCAAAAGCTGTATTCCATTTTTTGTTCAATCTCCAAACGCTTGGCAGAAGTTAGAACATTGCCTTCAAGAACACACACAACCTGCATAAGCTTCCTTCTTCTTCTTCTTTCGATTGTGTCTGACTCGTTTCAATCTCCAACCCGTTCAAGTCATCCCTCTCGGACTGTTGGGGCCTTAAATCTTGATTGCAGCAATCCAACGCTACCCTTTTTCTGTCCTCCGTATCTGCAATCTGAGCAACACACCGCAAATTTCTTCTTCTTTCGCGGCTTTCTTTCTCCCAGGTATAACTACTACTTCTTTTCATCTTCTTCTACAATGCTGCCTCAATACAATTTACACCCATTTTGCAATTTCTCGTTATTGTTCATCAATTCTTGAATTTTCTTTTTTGAATCGGCACGTTCTTCCGGTTGAATTCGAGTCTGGTTTGACTTGGAATGCAAATTTCCGATGTATTTTATTCGTTTCTTTCCCCCCGAGTTTGCGGGCGTTTGAGTATATGGCACGATTATGAGTTCATTCGAGTTTGCATCCTTTTTTCCCCTCCGTAAATTTTAGGTTTTGCTATAATTTGTGATTGTCTTGGGATTCGATGTTGGGTATAAATTGATTTGCGTACCTTAGGTTGTTGGCTAGAATTTCCTCGATATTAGAGTCTGAGAAGTTTAATTCATGCGGATATATAGCCTGGAAGTTTCAAGCCAGTTTAGGTGCAGGGGCTCGGGATCATGCACAAACAGATGGAGCTTGTTACCGCATTATCAATTCTGTTTCTTCTTTTTGAGTTTTAATCTTAGTTTGAGTGGGAAGATTTTGATCACAAATCTCCTGCCTTGAGTGCCATGAGTACCTCCTGCTATTCCCATTATCAGTTCATATTTGGCAAATTCAAGCGTTATTCTTTAGTCTATATTCAAGAATAAGTCTAGAATGATATCATCAAATAAAGAAACGGGACGTAGGATGAGATATTATGTAACAACCCAAGCCCACCGTTAGCGGATATTATCTTGGGCTTTCTCTTTCAAGCTTCTCCTAAAGATTTTTAAAATGTGTTTGCTAGGGAGAGGTTTCCACATTCTTATAAAGAATGTTTTGTTCCCCTCTCCAATCAAGGTGGAATCTTACAATCCACCCCCTTTGGGGCCTATCGTCCTTGCTAACACACCGCTTGGTGTCCATGCCCCTTTGGGGTTCAACCTCCTCGCCAGCACATTCGTCCAGTGTCTGACTCTGATACCATTTGTAACAGCTCAAACTCACTGTTAGTAGATATTATGCTCTTTGGGCTTTCCCTTTCAGGCTTCCCCTCAAGGTTTTTAAAATGCATCTGCTAAGGAGAGGTTTTCACATCCTTCTAAAGAATGTTTTGTTTCCCTCTCCAACCGATGTGGGATCTCACATCTTAGATAGTTTGTTAATTTTTATACGTTCAAGTTATTAATTTTACTTCTTGGCCATTGGAATGATTTATATAGATTTTCTGCATCAAAAACTGTTTAGAACCTCCATTGAAATGTAAGGGTTCAAAAATGAATCACTTTTATAGTTGTTTATCATTTTTCCCACCGTTGCGAACATTTATCATTTATCTTAATTTGATACCTTGTTCTGTGTTTAATTTGGTCTTGCATATATTCAAGTCTTCCCTTTCCAGGAAAACAAATGGTTTCTTTTACTATCTGAACTCTGATCTTATTGATTTAAGTAATGGTCGTTCAAGACATTGTCTTTGGACTTTGTGGTTTAAGCTCATGACAAGTTTATTTTTTGCGCAATTTTCGCGTAGCTTCTATAAGTTTAGAGGTAAACTTGACTGTTTGTGTGAGATCCCACATTGATTTGAGAAGGGAACGAGTGCCAACGAGAACGTTGAGCCCCGAAAGAGGGTGGATTGTGAGATCCCACTTCGACAGGAGAGGGGAATGGAGTATTCTTTATAAAGGTGTGAAAACTTTTCCCTAGTAAACACTTTTTAAAAACTTTGAGGGGAAACCCGAAAGTGAAAGTCCAAAGAAAACAATACCTATTAGTGGTGGGTTTGAGTGGCTACAACTTGGGTACTAGAAACTAGAAACATCATGCCATGCATTTACATGGGAACATGGGGTCATGTTCAAAACCACTTCCAAACAAGTATTTAATCATTCAAAATCAAATTTCGATGGTATAAAATATTACTCCATTTTTATTGAGAATGAATGAGATTACTCTTTTCTGATCACCAGCCATTTATTGGTTAATTCCACAATAGTGTTAGTCAGAAATTTGAATATTGATTATATCCACTTTTTTTTTTTCATATGCTTGTCATTCAAGCAGTTTTTCCTTTTTCTAGATGGTTAAAACCTATGTTTTGGAATCTATATTGAACTCTTATAACGACTTCGTTCATAGACATCACATGGTAAGCGTACATCCATCACTGTGTCGTGTCATGAGCGTCTGCTTATAGGTTCAAAATTCAATTATCAGTTTCGTAAGATTTTCCGATCATCAGGAAGGATGGAGACTCTTCTCTAATCAGTTACATGAATTCATGCTATAAGCAGTAATTTTCTCCTAGACCATGTGACAGTTTGATTTTGTTTGGTTCTTCTCCATGTTACCATATTGTCAGTGTATGCTAATAGATGCTTTCTTCTCATTTTCTAAATTGTTACCTAATGTTGGCATCACAGATTACTTGCTTCCTGAATAAGATACAACCTGTGGTGTATAGTCATCAGAAACGAATGAAAAGTGATTATTATGTCTGAATTGATTGACGGTCTCCCAGACGCTGTCGCCCTTAGGTGCCTCGCTCGTGTTCCGTTCCACCTCTATCCAAAGTTGGAGCTTGTTTCTAAATCCTGGCTAGCTGCCATTCGTAGTTCTGAACTTTTTAGAGTTCGACAGGAGATCGGATCATCAGAAGATCTATTATGCGTATGCGCATTTGAACCTGAGAATCTATGGCAGCTTTATGACCCCCTCAGAGACCTTTGGATAACAATTCCTGTACTTCCATCGAGAATTAGGCATCTTGCACACTTTGGTGCCGTCTCCACTGCTGGAAAGTTGTTTGTGCTCGGCGGTGGCAGTGATGACGTTGATCCGTTGACTGGTGATCAAGATAGGAACTTTGCAACCAATGAGGTATGGTCATATGATCCTATAATACATCGGTGGTTTCAACGTGCATCAATGCTTGTACCACGTGCCATGTTTGCGTGCTGTGTCTTGGGTGGAAGGATTGTCGTTGCGGGTGGTTTTACTAGCTGCAGAAAATCGATTTCTCAGGCAGAAATGTATGATCCTGATAGAGATGTATGGATTCCACTGCCTGATCTACACCATACTCACAATTCTGCTTGCACAGGGGTAGTGATTGGAGGGAAGTTGCACGTTTTGCACAAGGGGTTATCAACAGTGCAAATTTTAGACGATGTGCAGCTTGAATGGAGAGTTGAAGACTATGGTTGGCTCCAAGGTCCAATGGCTGTTGTCCAGGGTTCACTTTATGTCATGAGCCATGGACATATTTTCAAGCACGATGGAGAAGTGAGGAAGGTTGTTATTTCAGCATCCGAGTTTCGGCAACGAATTGGGTTTGCGATGATTGGTTTGAGAGATGAAATTTACGTGATCGGAGGGGATATCGGTCCCGACCGTTTGAATTGGGACATCAAACCAACGTCGGACGTCGACATATTGACAACAGGAGGCGAGAGGCCAACATGGCGACATGCAGCTTCGATGACGAAATGCTGTGGAGCGATTCGGGGATGTGCTCGGTTGAGAATTTAGGACTTCATTCCTTATTGTGTTTCTTCTACCTTGTCATTGAATTGTGTTGGGTCTGTCAGAATCAAATCCCTCCTACTGCCTTTTCTTTCTTTCTTTTTTTGTAATCTCTGGTCTTTGATGTTAGTTTGGATATCATTGGAACGGTTCCATGAATATTAAGAATTAGTGTGATGGAGGCTCAAATTTTCACTTCTAAATACTTGAATGAAGAAGAACGATTTGTTGACACCCATATTTTCTTATTGTGTACATGTTTGAAATACTTCCTAAATGTTAAATACTTGCAATTTGAGATAGTTATAACTAAGCTAACGTGAGATTTCACATCGATTGGGGTGGAGAATGAAACACCTTTTGTTTGTAAGGGTGTGGAAACCTCATGAGTTTTAAAAGTCTTGAGGAGAAGCCCGAAATGAAAAATTAAAAGAGATGATATCTACTAATTGTGGGTTTGTGTCGTTACAAATGGTATTAGAGCTAGACATTGGGGTATGTGCTAGCGAGGAGGCTATTCCCCAAAGGAAGTGGATTTGGTGGGAGTCCCACATCGATTGGAGAAAGGAACGAGTGCCAACGAAGACGCTCGCTCCTAAAGAGGGATAAATTGTAAAATCTACATTGGTTGGAGAGGAGAACGAGAACGAAATATCCTTTATAAGAGTGTGGAAACCTCTCCCTAGCTCGAAAAGGACAATATTTGCTAGCGGTGGGCTTGAACCATTACAACTAGTAGATTCCAAAACTCAAATCGCTCCTAAAGTTGAGATCCATGAGAAGAAGCGTGCAGTATTCAGGTGTTCAGGATTTCAGGAGCTGACCATAACAAAATACCAAAAGAACAAAAATAATAATTAGAGAAAGCAGGGAAACCACGCCTGCCCATCTTGGAAAATCACAAGTTACATGCCTATCTGTAGAAAACGACTTTTGTTTTTTTACGTTTTCTGCGCGGCTTCTACCTACTTCCCATTTAAACTATTGATTCTATAATTAGCAGTAATCAAAGAATGACGTGATTTGGATAACTTTCTTTAATCACAAATCACTTTTTAATCTATAAAACACATTAGATAAAGCTTACAAAAGACTTGTTCCATTTTAAATTTAGGCATGAATTCAAATGGTTGTTTAGAAAGCTTGCACAAACAAACTATTCATACATGATAAAGTAGCCAACAAACTAAAATAACAATAACATTACAATATTGCTTCACTTTCTGGAAATGCCAATGACCATAGGCCATTCAAAACAGAAAGAAGGCAATTACTATCGGAACTGATATGCAAAGAAAACAAAACAAAAGGCTCCAACGATCCACAGTAGGACTCTGAAAGTGTACAGCTTTCAATACAAGGATAAACACAACACAAACACAAACTGGACCCAGGCTTCTAAGACGAAAACTCTCTTGTGACCAACGACGTCCACAACAAACCAACCATGCCACTGAAACCATCACCTGAACTGTTCACCCTTAGGTTTCTGGTACATGAAAATAAGGAAAATGAACAATGGAACAAATATTGCAGAAACAGAGCAAGATGACAGTAAAAGAGGCTTACCGCATATACTGCTCCATGTGATCAATGATCTCCTGGAAGGACAACGACGAACCTTGCAAGAACCAGCTTCATACTACATAGATGACAAAACGAAGCGGCACTGGACACAGGAAAGTGCTACACAGTAATTCCAAAGAAGCAAACTAGAAAGTCATACTATCACTATCCTATTCCCACCTTTTCTTTCAAAAAACTGAAAAGGCAGTAGAGAAGGCATATCTCCTTCATAGGGCACAGGAAAAGAAGCGAGGGGCTATAAGATTTAGATGGGGTATGAGGAAAAGGAAGGGAGTGAGAGGCTATAAGATGTAGTAGATGAGGTATGAGAAAACGAAAAGGATCAAGGATATTAAGAAAAGGAGAGATTTAACTGTCGAGTAACCATTTCATCAGGGTTAAAGAACCTAACTAACAAGTCATCAAACTATCTACGTAAGAAGGATAGCAGCTAGAACAGAGGATATGCGGGGAATGGATGGAAAGAATGAAAAAGAAACCTACTGAACTTAAACAAGCATTAGTTTGGGTTCCTAAAGTATGATACAAATTATGCGACAACCTAAACTCTAGAATAGAATAGAGGCTAAGAATCTGGTCAGGGCATGATAGCCAGAACAGAGATAATAGCCAGCAGATCCATGATTACTAGAAATGTTCATATGAAACTCGATAGATAAAAGCCAGCAGATACATGCAGTGCAGAATGAAGATTTCATTCACTGCAACACTAAAGTTCACAAACAACCTATTTCTGCCTTCCCAGTATCTTGATTTAATCTGTGTTACTATCACACCCTATCTTGTCTTCGTCCGCTAAGACCAAATTGAGTTGTGCATCTAAGCACATACTAGGGTGCAACATCTGAATATTAATTGAAAGCGTCAGAGCCTGTAGCTGCGATCGAAGGATATACACCAGCACTGAAAACGAAGGATACTTGTGACTGTCCTCACTAACCAATTTATTCATTCTATATACATACTGAAACTACCTGGCTTACAAAGTAAGCCTCTTTGCAGGAGCTTGATGCTCCCTGGAGTTCATTCATTGTCGACATCAAGATTAAGAATGCGACGTAGTGTCCTAGTCGCAGAGTCAGCACTATGAAAGATAAACCTGGAGGATGACTCAAGCTCCCGAGTTGGGGATGGTGGTGCAGACTTGGCAGATGGACGATGCATTTCAAATTCAGGTGCAGAGCGAGGCAACTCCAGTGACTTGGTTCTCTTAGCAACTGAAAATTTGGGAATGGGTAATGAACTTGGTGGCGGTGAATTTGAGTAAGTGGGTCCAGCCCAAAGCTCAGAGAATGAGAAATTTCGGTCATAACACTCTTCATGCAAAGCACTGTTCTTGTTTGAAAAATTGGCAGTGATGGGAATTGGAGCACTTTTCACACTAGCAAGTTGTTTGCCATTTCCGGCGTTGGAACCTAAACAAGTTGGGGGTGTCTTCGGGGAAGAAGAGTAGACATGTTTAGTTCCAGAGATACAAGCCTTCAAGGGAGTTGGGAGTATACCAGCTCCCGACTGGAAACTCCTACAGTTCATCCCTCTGAAGTCCCGGGAAGGGGGTGATTCAAATCGAGCTGGTCCATGGGGCTCGATCCGACCATAATATTGATTCCTATGCTGCTCAACAACAATCACTGCTTCCATAGCTAAATAACTTTTAAGTCAAAGTATGTATCCAGTTATAAGTTAAGACACAATTTCAGTTTCTCCCAGTAGATCCAACTTGTACAACTCAACACAACGCTGATAACTATACTAAAAGTCACAACCTTTGAGACAGCCCTAGTTTATCTCTTCCACGCCAGATCCAAATCGTACCAGAGATGACTCGATCTGCGTATCTGAAAAACAAAAAGATAAACAAGATGATTTATCCTTATCTAACCAGATCTACAATTAAAAGTTAACTAATCGTAGGGAAAAACTTATTCAATCGCAACCAAACAAAAATCAAAATAAAATAGCATAAAGAAAGTAAAAGATACAGAACCGGTCAAGGTCGAGCAAAAAAGAAATAACACTGTATAGTTGAGCATCAATTTCTTCAAACATTTCTAGAAGAGAGTGAGAGAATAACGCACCGAAATTGTGTATGAAGTTCTTCAGTGGGGTGAAGATCTATAGATGAAAATGATGAACCGTAAAGAAGATTTAGACTGAAATTCTCCGTCAACGAGCAGTAGTGGCACTAATTTCTTTTCCAAATTTTTTGTCTATTTTCTTTTCTGTTTTTGAAGATTTTCTTCAGTTTGGATTAGAGCGCTGCCATGGAGATTGAGCCCCCAGCAAGGGTTTGAACCAGAATCGACGGATCTGAAATGGTTCCAGAGTTGCATTTAAATATCTGCCCAAGCATCGCCCTCGCGTGCTCTCCCTCGTGCCTTCCACATTTAGCTCTATATTTCATTACAATTACGAAACTGCCATCATTGATTTAGAATAAAATCCTGTAGTTCATTCCCCCGGTCTCTCCCGCGATTTTAGTAAATTTTATATACAAATAGTAATAATAAAAATAAATTAAAATTAAAATTAAAATTACAATTACAATTACAATTTTAGCCCTAAAGCTTAGTTAATTCATTTATATTCCTAATTTTTTTTAATCTTTTTGTTAATTATTATTGGAAAATTGATGTGATATCTACGATTTAATATGGTAAAATTTAACATAATTTTTTTTCGTTCATTTAGGGTCATGGTTGATATCATCAGTGACGACTAGATTTTTTTCTCCTCCCTCCTTCTTGGCTTTCAAAAGAAATAAGATCGGAACGTTCTATTTTAAAATTAATAATTAGGAAATTATAATAATGTAGGAATATTAAAAGGGTGTAATTATGGGGATTTGCATGCACGTTGTAATATTTGGAGTGTTATTTATTGAAATGGGAGAAAATAAAAAATAATGGAGAAAATTGATGATTGTGGTGGTGGGCTCCAGACCAGCAAGGCCCATTTCTGGTGGGAAAATGATGTAAATGGGCCCTGATAGATCCAGGTTGGTTGGAATCTAGTGTCCTTCGGCGCACCAGCAAAGCATATGATGCTTTTGACTGACACGTCCCCCCAATCAACACCTTATATAATTATGAAAATTAATACCTTATATAATTATGAAGCTCGGATTCTAACGTGATAGACCTGACTCAACAAACAAAAAATATATATAATTAAAAAGTGGCGTCGCCCGGGTTCGAACCGGAGACCTTCAGTGTGTTAGACTGACGTGATAACCAACTACACCACGACACCATTTCTGGGACATGCCACATTGTGATTTTTATTCCAAATATAAAACAAAAATATATAATTAAAAATGGCGTCGCCCGGACTTGAACCGGAGACCTTCAGTGTGTTAGACTGACGTGATAACCAACTACACCACGACACCATTTCGTTTTTAAGCGCATTGTGCTATTTGATAGTGAATAAAAATTATATAATTATCTTTTACCTGTAAGATCATTGGGTCTTTTTTTTTTTTTTTTTCACTGTGCATAAATTTTGTATTAATTTTTTACTTTGACAAAATAAAATGTATGGAAAAGTTGGCAATCAGAGATCATAACAGTCACTTTATAAATGTAAAAGGACTAAAACGAATACTTTGAAAGTCTGCGAACGAAAATGAATCAAAACCAAA